TTTGTTGTTTGTAAATTCAAATTTGATTGACTAACATCATTAGACTTTTAGTTAACTAGTTAATCATTTAAATACTTGAAATAGCTATATCAATAATGAAAGGCTTGGATTTGAGCTTATGAGAAATATGCAGATAACACGGTCTATAAACTTGAGTCCGTGTATTTTGTATCTTTGTACTTTTATTAAAATGGTTTTAGGCCTCATAAAGTCGTTTTCCTATAGGTACATACAGAAAATATCAAGATTTAAGATAAAAAGAGGTTTTTAATTTGCTCAGTCCTTTACTTTTTAAAAAATTTTTGTGAACAGCATCCCTCACTTCAGAAACCTACAAAGTAATTTTCTATACAGGAAAAAAAAAAGTTATCCCCGAATAACCTACAGCAGTTATCCTGCATCTGAACTGACATACTAAAGATTGTAATTTAAAGCGGCTGCATCCTGTTCCTTGCTTTGCGTTGCTGCGAAGAGCCAAGTTCAAGCGTGAAAAGGTATTTTGTCACAGAAATTCCCTACAGTGTCATTAAATGAGCTTTAACTAATATTCAGCATTCCTTGTTGAAATTTGTAAGATTTAGCTAACAAATGATACTTACAGAGTTATGGAACACTTTTGTGCATCGATACATTGTGATATGCTGCAGTCAATTTTATGCATTGTTTGTAACTACAAATTGAGAAATTTTTAAGTTTGAATCAGTTAATATGTTTCTAGTAGCTAAGAAACATTTTAGTCATTCTTTTATCTGCGTGTTATTTAATACTTTACGTGAGTTCTGCGAAGACAATAACTTCCCTGTCACAGTTAAAGGCTATCCAGCTGTAATGGTAATTCATGAATATGACTCCAGGAAACCACATCTTGTGTATAGCTAAGAAATACCTTTACATTGTTGAACAGCCATTTCTCACACATCGAGATTGTCTCCTTGGCCGAATCGGTTAACGCAACTATAGATACTCGCAAACCGGAGTAACACATTATGAAGCAGAACCTAAGAAGAAGAAGCAGCAGCACGTACCATTTTAATCATTTCCAGTTGCTCACAGCGATTCTTCCTCTGTGTTATAACAGTGAAAATAATTGCTCCTGAATGTGGGTTTCTTCAATCAACTCTAAAATATTAGTAACCCAATAATGAACGAGGAATCTGCAGGAAGAACATGGATCGATATCGTAATATTGTGAAAATTTGCGCCTGAATGTAAAGCTTCTTGATTGACTGACTGTTAAGATTTGCTAACCCAATAAGTGAGACACCTTTGGATACCTTTTGTTCCTGATTTTATTTGTAGAAGATCATAATGTTTCAGTTTGGTTTCAAAACTGTTTTATTCTTCCGGATCTCAAAGTCGATCTGCTAAGACCGTGGATGTGTAGCTATCAGAAAATATTTTGCTGAGTTCAAGTATGATAATGATTGAAAGTGTTTTGACCCCCCTCGGCCGGATCATAATGGTATCACGGGTATAAAATAAATAGCAATAGTTTTAAATGGAAATGAATATTTCTCAAATTAGATTGTGACTTTCAGAGGGACACCTTGGATGCCTTTGAAATTTAATTTTATCATCTTCATCCTTATAAAATCCTTCAACAAAACTTCGCTGCACTGAAATCCAGCTTGCCGCAATGGTGGGGAAAAATAACATTTAATCAGCAAGTCTAAAAATGAATTGTACTGAGAATGTTTTAACAATTTTTTATTTTGTTTAAAATTAGAAATAAATGCATAGCTTATCTCAGAAAAACAATGTTCTGTGGAACGCTGATGTTTGTTATGTTAAGGAAATTCGTTATATTTGACACAGAAATTTGAAAATTTCGGTTGTTTTATTTTCACTGTGCTAAAAACTTGAAGGTATTAATATTTTGCTATGGTAACAGTGCACTTTTTTGTTACGATTATCTCCTGGAAAAGGTAGGGGCGGGTTATAAAAAAGGAGAATTTAAGAATTCGTCAATGAAGACTCTCGCCGGAGCAAAATTTATCTGGGATCAAGTATGCGTAAGGTTTCCTAATTCGCTGTGGCTTAAGACCTAAATAGCTGAAAACTTAGCAGTCTGAAACGCAGCTATCAGTTTACGGTGTTGGAAACAATTGTGATAGATGGTATTCAATATTATGCCCTCAATTAAAATGAAGCAAGAAATCGAATGTTCCAGAATTTTTCAGACGCTATTCTGAAAGAAAGCAGGAATAACTATTACACTTAAACAGATGCTAACAGATTTCATTATATCTTCAGAAACGACAAAGAAATTGAATATCTAATGCAACGAGCACTCCTTTGCTTTGAAGAATATAATATATAATTTTGTAAAGACGATGTTTCGATCACTACGGTTTATTGCTATTCAGAATAGCTAGTTTCAGGAACTTAAGGCTACCTTACTCAAGTTAATAAAATACTATTTTGGAACTGGTCTTTTGTTCCTAAAGGAATCGGATAATAACAGCACAAGGTGTAAACACTTGTTCTCCTTTAAAATTGGCGTGGGGTTGCGATTTCAGCTGTGAGGGTGATATTTGATATGAGTGTTCTTACTTTGGTTTTCGTATCTCTGGTTTCTTTTTGTGCTCCGAAGATTATTCTTTTGAAAGTATTCACTTTTCTGATGTCTTTATGTTTTACTGTAACGAATATCTTAAATTTATTGCATATTCTTCGAAATCCTTTATTTACATGGAGGTTCAATTAATCTTTTATTTCGTATGATAGAATTAGTTTCTGGGGTCACATTCATTTTAATATTAACAAAGAAGGTATTTGGGCAAAGGAGGAGAAAGGTGTGCTGAGAAGACAAGTTATGAAGATTCGACGTGTATCGATTGGCTTTCTCGTCTCAAAACGCAAAAGTAGTTATTTAGGCGAAGTCTTCCAATTTCAAATAAAATCCAGACACGGTTTTATTAGTAACGTTATAATCTAAGATATAAATTTAAATTTTTATAAATAGATTGAAGAATTAGAATAGTAGTAAGCCATAAGAATGTTTTCATTTTGTTTCAACCCAAAAGACGATATCTTGTAATTACTGATTTTTTGCAATAAAAATGTTTTCATTTTGTTTCAGCCCAAAAGACGATATCTTGTAATTACTGATTTTTGTGCAATAAGGATGGGTTCTGGTGATATTTAGGTTTGGTTTATTTGATTATGGCAAACCACTCGACGGCTGTCTTCTTAAGAGGAGGGAGGCCTTCTTGGAGGACTTTGTAAGGGAAAGTGGCTCGTATATACGTTACATGATATATATATAAGGAAAACCGCGAAAATTCTCGTGCAGCCAGTCCGTTCGCGGGGATTCCAACCCCGGATCGAACTACCAGTGTTCAGTGACCGACCGTACCGCACGACTATTAGGTGGGCCGGCGTTATTTAAGCATTTCAGATGGAGCTATATTTTATGTCGTTACTTAAAAACAAGAGATATGTGTCCGAACAAGGGAAAGGTGTTAAGAGTTTTTTTTTTTTTTTTTTTTAATTCCATTTCATGGGTTTTAGAGAAAGGGGTACAATACTGTCGTATGCAATATGAACGGTGCTTCATTTTATATTTAACCATATTCTCTGAGATATCACTACTAGCAATATCATCTAAAATTAGGCAGAAAAGCAACGTTGATTTAATGTAAATTTTAAATAAAACTGTATCGATTTTCAGGGCGTTGGCCTCAGTAGCCCCCCTTTTTTTGTTCTCCTAAAGAAAAGGGTCATACGTCCAATCGTCCTCGAAACTGATAGAGTTTTATTCAAGTTCTACACCAAACTAAGTCTGTTTTAGCTTAACTTAAATGTTACTGGCGTGTCCCTAACCCCATTTGACGACAACTTGAATTTTACCGAAACGTATTGAGTGTCCGCTCACTTGACATAATATTTTATTAATGGAACCAACAAAATGAAGCAATTTTTGGGAAAGAGCGCACTAAACATTAACATTTTAGGCGTTTACATTCAGTAGGGAAACAGCTAACTTGTTCGTGGACAAACTGAGTATCTACTCTTTGTCTTAATTCATAACAGTGCTTCATGAAACCGATACTTCAGTATACATGTTAATCAGTAATCGAAATTCTCTGTAGCTGTACAAATTACAAGAAGTGGCAATAATGTGGTTGCAGACTCAAGTGAAATCAGAAAATGTATTTCTGAAATGCCTTTCATGTTCAGTACATATAACTTACTAGGACATATAACTTATATGATTTGAAATAACTGGGCGGAGAGAGAGACTTTTAATAACTCTTATGTCAGTCAAGGGCGAGTTAAGACTACGTTTAAAGTTTCTAATATTCTGAACATTTCTTAACTCCCAACTAAGTATGCAATTGTTAAACTCCTAACTATGTTTAGTTGGAAATTTAACATTGTTAAAAGTAATCTTTGCATAATGTATTGCTTATTTTATTGTGAAATAAAACCTACTTACGTTACTTAAAAAAGTAGTGGTACTATACTCACGCAATGAAAAATAGCGGTACTGTACTCATGGAAGGATGGAAAATAATGTTTAAATCCGAAATAAAAATTACTTATAGCATTGCCAGAAATGAGATTCTGCGTTCCAGAAAAGATTTTTTCGGATAGAAAAAGAAAAAAATTAGAATTAATATGTTCGTCTGAATTCGAGATCATACCGTACGTCAGTATAAATTTTAGCCACCAGCGATAGTCAAAATCAGAGTTGGCTGTTAAGAAAGAGTTAGAGTTGGCTATTGAGAAAATAGAAATAATGTAAAGCATTAAAATTTATAAAAATACCATGTTCATGTAATACCCAGTGTGAGGTTTTTTGAATACCTAAAATATGAAGTTCAATTGCTAGCCTTTAAATACTCGGCGTATGGATACTACTTCGAGCTCAAAAAAGATATTGGTCTTACAACGCATTTTCTATTTAATTTTAGGATAAAAATAACATTAATTTGTATTAAGAATTTATAAGGTAAACTCTTAATATGTTAATCTAGTTTTTATTCCTACTGTAGGTGGCTTTAATGCTTTCAAAAGCTTAATGCCAGAATGGTTGGAGAGTGATTCCGCCGAGGCCCGAGATTCTGATCTGAGCTTGGAGAATCTTCGGATTACTCCTCTGTCGGAGAGCGATTCTGAGAACGAGCACTGTGACAGCGGCTTAGAAGGCGAACCTAGCCCCAACGACCCACCGTTCCCTGTCGAAATTCTGCCCTACTTATTCCTCGGCAACGCCGAAAACTCGGCGGACCTCGAAGCTTTACAGCGGCACAAAATACGTTATATCCTGAATGTAACTCCAAATCTTCCAAATGCGTTTGAAGATAAAGGTCTCGGGATCAAGTATATGAAGATACCTATACAAGACCACTGGTCACAAAATCTAGCCACTTTTTTCCCTGAAGCCATTGCTTTCATAGGTAAGATTAATTTATTTTCCTTCTATTTAAATTAAATAATCTGAATACAAGGGGAAAAAATCCCTATCCATTAGCATGCAAAGTGCCCAAAAAATTAACTGTGGGATATAGCTTTTGATTAGTTTATATGGTTGATAAAGGTTTCAGAATTTATAGGCTTCAGTGTTTTTGCAGTTAGTAGTCACCATAGATATACTATAATATTTATGTGTGTATCCATTAACAACATCGGAACGATGATCACATATCCTTCATTCTGTAAAATGATTCTAGTCATTGCTGCTATGATTCATCTCTTTGATTGACAAACTTCTGAATCTTTTATTGTTAATCAGTATTTTCTTATGAACATAAAAGAAGAAATGCCAAACCTGGGATTTCATAAAGGCAAATTCTTTTCGTCGATAATGTTTAAATCCGAATTTAAACATTATCGACGAAATGTTTAAATTTCGTCGATAATGTTTAAATCGACGAAATTTAAACATTTGACGAAATTTAAACATTTGAATTTCATGAAATATGAATGTTCAACAAATCTTGCACGATCGTTGCAATGTGTGATCGTGCTCCATCTTAATAAAAGATTGCGCAATTATATTCTTCCATGTACACAAATGGGAAAAGCCAAAATGTTGTAGCATACCTAGGTACATGCTGTTGTTGAGAGTGACATTAAATCCCACCGTTATTTTTCAGACATCTTGTAGTAAGCTGGCCCAGTACCTTAAAAGTGTGACGAGATAAATGAAGAAATGAGGATAATTTAAAAGCTACGGCATTTAAACTTCGGTGTGGTGTATTTAATTATGGCAAAGCACACTAGGGCTATCTGTCTAAGGGAAGGGATGCCTTCGTGGAGGACTTTCTAAGGGAAACTGGCTCGTATACACTTTACACATGGGGAAAACCACAAAAACACCCATGCAGCCAGCCCGTTCGCGGGATTCGAACCTCGGACCGAACTACCAGTGTTCAGCGACTTTACTGCTCGGCCGCTGGTGGGCCTCTTTAAACTTCGGATTAAGAATCTTCCTTCAGATTTGCGAATTTCATTACCAGTATGTGTCTCGTAATGTGGAGAATGACTAGTTAAAATTTATTGAAAATATATGTTCATTTTTTTTTATCGGGGTAGGGGATTAGAAGTACATTTGGTATTAATAGGCTCGTTAGCGTATGCTATTATTAGGCTGTTTAGCTTCTATGCAGTATATGTAGTAATGTGGAATTCCAAGTAAAGCATGGGAGTTCCTGAGGTTTGTAATGCGATTTAATTTGTGGATTCCAATGTAATTAATTTCGTACTCAGAAAAGATCATAGATCGGTCTAACAATGACTTGACAGTTCTGAAACTGATATCTCTTTTACCATGCTGATGACACAATAAAAACGAATAAGCACTGTCTGTTAATCCATAAAGATATTTGCTTTTTGCCTTTTTTTTTTTGTTATGGAAGAGAAAAAATTATTACTTATATTAGTTGCATTCGATTAATAGGACGGCTGCATATGCCTGGGATCTGCCGTGTTCTCTGTACTGTCTTATGCAAATTATCTTGTCGAAATTTCTGAGTTCCAACTCGCTTCTTTCTTTATGTAAAAAGCATATGACTGAGATATTCTGAGGACATTATTAAAAGTCTTATTGAGCTCATGAAGAATGTTTACATACCTGTCCATTTTATTAGTTGACAGAAGTACAAATTTTATTGCAATTTTATGGTGTTAAAATTTGGTAGTCTCTCCCCCCCCCCATGAAATTTAAACTATACTACTGCCTAAACTGCAGTATCCCATTTGCCTTAAAAGGATATTTGAGCTGTTATGCAATTATAAAAAGGGTTAATGCAGTTTTCTGCCCTGTGTAAATATAACGTCTGATTGCAAACTGTGAAGTCTGGACTAACATGTTGGTTCGACGAAAAGCAGAAAATCGACAAAAAAGTGCGTTTTCTTTTTTAACGAATAGCTCAAAATGGGAATTTCTTCTCAGATTTTGTTTTCGCTAATGCATTGTGACCTGGAAATATTTTATGTACAAATCTGAATATTTTATAAAATATTTTATTATAAATATTATAAAAATGTATTTATTATAAAATATTTTATATACAAACCATTGACTTTTAAAAGGAAACATATAGCTAGATGAAGTAAACTTTTGGCTAACATGGACTTTTCTTTTTACTTGATATTTACCCCGGGATTTATTCGACTAGGTTTTTAAGAAATTACCTAGTACTAGGTTTTTAAGAAATTACCGCATTCCGTGGGTGTAAGACATAGCACGCCCAGTTAGCAATTCGAAGACCCGTTGTTCGAATTCCGGCGAGAACCTAGTCGACTTCTCACGCTTCCGCACACACAAAATGTCGGCGGTTTTTACAGTAGCGCCCAAACTCAAGTGCAGTGGACGATACATTCATCATCTCGATTTGATCAAAGGTCTGTGTCTCTCCCCATTTGGCCTTTTAGCGAGGGAGATTATCGCATTTCCCCATGCGTGCTCTCGAGGTGTAAATGCTATCAGTTAAGCTAGCAACTGGAAGATCCGTGGTTCGAATCCCGGCGAGGGCATAGTCGATTTTTAATGTTTCCTGACTTCGAAAATGGTATTTACAGATTAATTGGCGAGTTTGTAAAAAATCGAAGTTTGATCTTTCTTATTTATATTTTGTTTTAATTTTTCATAAATTAATGTATGACTGTTGACATATCGTGTTTGTAGCATGCATGAGATTTTTTGTTAATTGCTAATTGCAATACTGGATCAAATAAACTTCTTTTATTCCTTTTTTTGTATTATAACTTAAAACAGATACGGCGTTTCTAAATATGTAAAATCAGTTTTAAATATTGAAAGAACGGTAACACGAAAGTTGGCGATGAACGTATTAAAACTTAGGTAAATGCTTTAAGAAAGCGTACAACATTCTATTCTTTAACAGTTTGGTCGAGTAATCGATTCTAGTCACGCGTTGTTTCCTCACTTCCATTCTCTAAGTTGCTAACATTTATATGACATTCTGAAGTATAGGATGTTGAATTATAATAATTATTTTGCTTCAAGTCTTTTAATTAATTCATTGAAATTCAGCTCATTGAATGTCCGATAAAATATACATGCACCATCGACAGTCAGGACATGTCAAGTAAGATGCGTTTTCTCTTACCCTAGTCATCTTGCTTGACAGTCAGGCCTTGTCAAGTAAGATGCGTTTTCTCTTACCATGCACCATCTTAAAACATTATGATCAAAATCGATGTCACCCCTCTAACAAAAGAGTGGGAAGTGAAATAAGTGGAATTTTTATGATGTAAGTTTTAAATTCCTGCAGTTGATGATGATGTTCTTGCTGAGAAATGTTAGCTCTAAATCTGTATTTGGATTAAAACGGTATGTTCAACTTTGCATGTCAGCTTGCCTTAGGTTTTCACCAGTTCCCTAGTATAAGAATTTAAGTTCTTTTCTTAATGGAGCCCGAGAGGGAGCCCCAAGGAGAGATTTCTTCATGCCCTCTTTTTGCTTCGATTTAGGTCTGTTTCCGCGATTCCTGTTTGCGCGTTTTTAAAAAATCTTCCTCTTTGCGCGAAATCGGGGAGTACAGTCCCCCTCCCAAATTTCCTCAGGGGATGTCAGAATGAGTCATTAAGAAGAGTTGGGCAGTTTCTTTCTGAAGTTAGTCATCGTCTTGACATTGTTAGACTGAAGATGTGTCTTAGGTTTAGGCTCCTCTCGAAATCTTTAGTTTCATTCCACTTTAAAATCTTCAGTATTAGCTGTTATTTTTCGTACCTAAATCAGTATGGATGTTTTAGAGATTATTGAAACTAAAAGAAAAAAGCCTTTAGCCCTTTACAAAGGTTATCAATATCGAATTCGGAATAGAAATAAGGAAAATGTAGTTTATTGGATTTGCATTAATGAAAGAACTAAAAGCTGCAAAAGCTCAATTAAAACCAAGAAGTTGTTTTAGAAGAAAAAATTCATTTATGTCAATCTGATACAGCACATTCTTTAGTAAAAAAAACAAACATTTCTAGCAAAAATGAGAGCGAAAGAAGATGTTCAACTTTCTCAAATTTACAATGAAGAAGTTGGAAAACTATACAATCAAGGCTTTGACATATTAACCAATATTCCGCAGTTTTCAAGTGTTAAAACAGCTCTATACAAATCTAGGCAAAGTGCCGAAGGATACGATCGAGAAGCTACATGTATGGAAGATTTAGAAATTCCTAATGAATTATTAACAATGGATGATAACTTTAGTTTCTTGTTGTTCGATGAAAGATAACCGAATTTTGGTATTTTCAAGTAAGAAGGGGAGGGAAGCAATGAAAAGCGGCAAAACTTTCTTTATGGATGGAACTTTTAAAAGTTGCTCAAAGCTTTTCTCTCAAATGTATACTATCTATGTTGATATTGGAAGTACCTCTAACGAGATTAATGTTGTTCCTGTATTGTTTTGCTTACTTCCCAATAAGCGAAAACAGACTTATGAAAGATTATTTCGTTTAATTAAAAATCATATTTCTGATTGGGATCCTAAAGAAATTGTGATGGATTTTGAAATTGCAGTTATAATTTCTCTGAAAAATATTTTTCCTTTCTTAAATATCAGAGGTTGCAATTTCCACTTAAATCAGTGTCTGTGAAGAAAGATTCAAGACTTGGGACTTGTTAACGAATATAGGCATAATGAAGAAATTAGAACCCATCTCAGAATGTGCGCGTCCCTTGCATACGTACCCGCGGAATATGTTGATGATGGTTGGCTGTGCATACATAAAAGTTCACCTCGTAATGCAAGATTAGAGGCATTTTATGATTACTTTGTTGAGAAGTGGCTTGAAAATGACGTTGTAACTATACAGATGTGGAATTGCAATGAAAAATTGCACAGGACAAATAATACTGTTGAAGGATGGCATCATAAATTAAATTCTGTTATTAGGAAAATCCATCCTAAAACTCTAGAGCTGATAAAATTTT